AAAAAAAAAAAAAAAAAGAAAGTTGGCCTCTTCATGGAACCTTGGGATGTTTTGTTGTAAGTCAGTTATCAACAGCAGGACTTTTGTACTACTGCAATCATGTGATGGAAATGTTTGTTACTGTTGGAGAAGGAAAGGCTGCAGCCCAGTTGCATCCTGTGCTGTATATACTACCAAGACCTCAAAAGATATCCAAGAGGCCATTTCTCCAAAGACAGCAACATCTGTTTTAAGGCACTTTCATAGTCAGCAGTCTGTAAGTTTGTAGGAGAAAACATAAGTGGTACAGTTAAAAGAATTCTAGGCTCTAAGATTGACTTTGTTGCCTTTTCTTGGGGGAGGGGGCATTCAGCCCATTTCCAAGGAATAGTTTCCTCATCTTAGTCTGATAGCTTATGATTATTTTTAAAAGAAATTCTGAAAACTTTGACTCTTGATCTTCCTCCACATTGCAGTGATAGTATACCAAGAATACTGTCTATTTTTTTAATAATATATTAGATTTTCATTCAGATCCTAAAAATGCCAAATTCTGATAGATTAGCCTTTTAAGGGAGTTATCAGTACCATAGTGTCTAAATAATGAGTAAATGGGTTTATCTTTGAAGTTGGTGTTATCCTTGGCAGACAGCACTGTATCATGCTCTTCACCAAGCTATGCTCTGTGATGATATAACGGAGGAGCCTACTTACTTGTGAGCCTACAGTCAACATACCATTGCCCAAAACAAGCCTTTATTAAGAACAGATTTACTAAGGGGAAAAAGAGTATAAAGTGATATTTTCATGGAAATATAATTATAATTTTTCCATTAAAGTGTCTACTGAGTATATATCGCTCCACATTGAAATTTTATTTTGCATTAACTTGTTAAGTAATTCCTTTTAACAATCTTGCAGCCCATTTTACTGGTACTACCTCTGAAACATACTATCACCTTAAAACCACATCAGACTGTAATGTGAACTTTTGTAGGGTTTTTATTTAAACTTTTATAGAGGCAATAAATGATTTCCAACTAATAGACATCTTTCTCTCTTTTAATGTTTATTTTTCTAAGTCTTTGTATTGTAAGCATTGTTTCCCTTTTAAAAATATTTTTTTCCTCTCAAAAATAAGGTTCTGATAAAAAGACAAAAAAATGCAGAGAATAATAAGGTATTGGGGATTAGAGAAGGGAGAACATGGAGTGCTCAAGTGGAAATTTGGTTGACTTCCAAGCTGACATGTATATCATCCTTAGTTGACTTTACCTAACAAAGAATTATTAGAACACCAATGGAATAGAGTGAATCTGTAATAGACAACAGATTTGTCCATGATAGTATATTGAAATGGTAAAACCAGGGAGTAAATCACCACAGTATAACCAAAAAATGCAATTTTTACGACAGATTTTTTAAAGTGGTGGTGTTACACCTTACTTCTGACTCTCTTTGACACCAGTTAAGCATGCTTTTAACTTGGGTGAAATATGCCCATGCCTTTTTTGTCAAAGTCTTATACCAATTAAAACTCTTCATGTTACCTTGCTAATGGGGGAGGGCAAGGGGTGACTTTCAAATAGCACATCAGTAGTTTTCCTTGCCAGTTGATACATTTTCAAGAATGTTGCAAGGAGAAAATCACATACAAACATGTACTTCAAAAGACCCAGGTCTCTCAGGTCTGCAAAAACATTGACTTAAGGTGATGAAATCCTTTGATTTTATAAAAATGAATGGGAATCTTTACAAATCTATTTTAAAAACAAGTCG